CAGGCCGCTCCCAGCAGGGAAACGCGGCCGGGAGGGGCTGGTGGGAGCAGCAACCTGCAGAAGGAGGCTGCCCCGGTCCGCGCGCTCAGCGCTGGGGCCACGCCCAGAAGTTATATTTTAACTTCCTGGTTGATTTCCCTTCGCACGCAAGTATGAGCCATGATAAAAGGGATCGGCCATTTGAAAAGAAGCCTGTGTGCCACCAGGATGCCTATGAAGTGGATTTCAGTTCTGCTGCTGCTACAGCTGAGTGGTCACTTCAGCCCTGGGAGTTGTGGAAAGGTGCTGGTGTGGCCCACAGAATACAGCCATTGGATCAACATGAAGACCATCCTGGATGCACTTGTCCAGAGAGGTCATGAAGTGACTGTTCTGACATCTTCAGCTTCAATTCTTGTTGATCCCAATAAACCATCTGCTATTCAATTTGAGATTTTTCCTACATCTTTAACAAAAGATGATTTTGAGGATATTCTCATGCGGCTGACCTCTAAGTGGACATATATGCCAAAATATACATTTTGGACTTATTTTTCACTAATTCAAGATAACATTTTGGAATATTTTGATTGTATTCAAAAGCTCTGTAAAGATGCTGTTTTGAACAAGAACCTTATGAGAAAACTACAGGAATCAAGGTTTGATGTTGTTCTTGCAGATCCCTCTGGACCCTGTGGTGAGCTGCTGGCTGAGCTACTTAAAATACCTTTTGTGTACAGTCTCCGCTTCTCTTTTGGCTATACAATTGAAAAGTACAGTGGAGGACTTCCATTCCCTCCATCCTACGTACCTATTGTCTTATCAGAATTAAGTGATCAAATGACATTCATGGAGCGAGTAAAAAATATGATGTATGTGCTTTATTTTGACTTCTGGTTCCAAGCATTTAGTGAGAAGTGGGATCAGCTTTACAGCGAAGCACTAGGTAAGTCATGTCCTTACTTGGTAGCATGAAATCCTAACTTTGTTAGTGCTCTAAAAGGTGACTTTTTATAAATATTAATTGAGACAAATTTGTCTTTTATAAGTAAAATGATAAAATAACATTATAAAATGATCTTTCATTCTCACAAATATTATGGAAATGCTTAAC